GACTGAAATTATTCAATCAAGAGTTGAATAATGAAGGAACGAAACAAGTGTTATTATATCAGACTCTGTTGCTTGTATCAGAGCATAGATATATACACTAGATATCGCATAGGGACCCTGAGCATGCGTCAATAGCGCCGCCATATTGGTACAGTGCTCCCAGGACAAATGTCATTCAACCGCACTAGTCAAGACAGTGTTATTACGTGAAGATACTGGACTTTAGCGCTGTGTACGGGTGTAGAAACGAGCAAACAAAGAAAACAAAGCACAAAGGCAGAACATTTCATAGGTAATATTAAGATTTTTTCTGTTTTTGTACGTTCTTTTGTGCTTATCAGGTCACGTTATTGATGATAACAGTCACTTACTTCATTCACCATACGGCAAAGCAGCTCCAACTCGCACTAAACACTCGGCTTATGCTAGTTTTGTTGAATAAAATCAGTAAACAATGCAAAAGAAATATGACAACGAGATGCTGCACTGCCAGAAACTTGTATTATTGTCGGCTAACGTTAGTGAAAGAGTCGTTCGGGGGATTCATTCACAAATGAATCGCTCCCTCCGTCAGTATGAGCAGTGAAAGCAGGAGAGGAGCTGTGTTTCAGGACATGATTAGATCAAGTTTAACAGGGAGGGTGAATAGTACATTTCTGTACACACAAACACAAGCTTTTTGTCAGGAATGCCCGTGCGGTCACTGATCCATCAATGTAGAAAAGTGATGTAAAATTATAATTTTCGTAATTAGAAAAAAAAATTACATACTAACATCCAGGAAAACTCCCGATCATAGATATATGTGTATATGTGTATATCTCTGGCTTTGGATGGCGACAGTCCTCCACTGTACCTTGTTCCCGCATTCATTTCAAAGGAGCGCTACCCTGTAGCAAGATGGCGGCGCTATTGATGCATTCCGTCCAATAGACAACAACAGGCCAGGTGACATTTAGTGTATATATCTATGGATGATAACAGTCACTTACTGCATTCACCATAAGGCAAAGCAGCTCCAACTCGCGCTAAACACTCGGCTTATGCTAGTTTTGTTGAATAAAATCAGCAAACAATGCAAAATAAGCATGAAAACGAAATGCTGCGCTGCCAGAAACTTGTATTATTGTCGGCTAACGTTAGTGAAAGAGTCATTCGGGGGATTCATTCACAAACGAATCGCTCCCTCCGTCAGTATGAGCAGTGAAAGCAGGAGAGGAGCTGTGTTTCAGGACATGATTAGATCAAGTTTAACAGGGAGGGTGAATAGTACATTTCTGTACACACAAACACAAGCTTTTTGTCAGGAATGCCCGTGCGGTCACTGATCCATCAATGTAGAAAAGTGATGTAAAATTATAATTTTCATAATTAGAAAAAAAAATTACATACTAACATCCAGGAAAACTCCCGATCACAGATATATGTGTATATGTGTATATCTCTGGCTTTGGATGGCCACAGTCCTCCACTGTACCTTGGTCCCGCATTCATTTCAAAGGAGCGCTACCCTGTAGCAAGATGGCGGCGCTATTGACGCATTCCGTCCAATAGACAACAATAGGCCAGGTGACATCTAGTGTATATATCTATGGTATCAGAGCTGCACCAATGTTTTGTCAGCTTGTCATCCTCTGAGAAAACTATTGATGGTCACCTATCAATCTACAAACATCACCCCCCCTCATTCCCCACCCCCGGGCTGCGGCACATTTGTCCAGTCCGCAGTAATAAAAAGATTAGGGACCACAGCTGTATTGGATCTGCCACTATGCTGACACATAAACATTTGCAGCTCCGCCCTCTTCTCATTTCTCATTTGAATTTAAAGCGACTTAATTTGAGTGAAAGCCTAAAAGGGTGAGTTTCAAGCAGATATAAAACATTGTCTGTGTGGTAATTTGAGCTGAAACTTCCCTACACACACACTCGGGGGACATCAGAGACTTATTTGACATCTTGTGAAAATCACATAATCGGTCATATTTAAATGATAGGATAATTCTGACTGTATTTTAACACGCTTCACTAATGTGTCGACTTTAAAAAGGGCAAGTAAGAGCGTCCGGAACCAGCGAGGGCTTCAAAATGGCTTCACACACTTTCTGTGCGAGCGTGTACTGAAAACGGAAAGTGTCTTCAAGTCTCTTCAACTGAGAATGAGCAACAGCAGCATCAGCGATGAAGCAAACACCCACAGAAGATGATGTGCTCCAGGTCCTGTCCAATTACATCAACAATCATCAGCGGGACCTGACTGGAGAGGTCACTGACCCGCGACCTCACCGGCAGCACAGGTCAGAGGTCAGACCTGCCTGTCGGTGGCGTCCTCTCGCTTGGTTGGAGAGAGTGAGATGACCGGAGGAGAAAGAGAGAGAGAGAGAGAGAGAGAGAGAGAGAGAGAGAGAGAGAAGAATAACACAGTCCTGCTCAAGGACAAACACACACACACACACACACACACACACACACACACACACACACACAGACGCTCATGTTTTACGGACAGGATCGGACAGATGGAAGATCTGAAAAGGGCAGCATTCATTTACAGTCAGATATCAGAAAAGGTTATCCTACATCAACTCAGACAGCTGGACACACACACACACACACACACACACACACACACAGCTCAGGTGGTCCTTATGAAAACAGCTGCCAAAGATGACATTTCAAGGTTTCGTTTTCCATATTCAAAACAGAAAACAGCGTGTGTGTGCTTATGCGTGTGTATATGTGTGTGTGTGAGAGAGAGAGCGCGGCGAACGCATGACAACATCACACTATTGAAGGTCATTTGCTGAAGGGCAAAGCCACACACACACTCTCACAGCTCACACACTCTCACAGCTTGTTAAAGTGGACTGTGCTGTATATGCTATCAGATATAAATATGCAATAACACTGTAAAGGCCAGTCATGGAGGACAAAGAGCAGGTGGCAGAAAACACACACACAAACACACATACACACACACACACACTGACACTTGCTTCTCGCTCATTTCTAATTCATGAGGATGCTTTTTGCATACAGTGACCGAAAATATGACATCCGGGTGAAACGCATGAAACTTTTCTACAACACGGGTCACACGTCATCACTGAATATATGAAACAATATTTTGATGGAGGAAAAAAAAAACAACTACTACTATCTTTTGCATGCATTTGAAGGTTATTTTGCAATGTTTGTTTTGTTTTTTGCAACTATTAAACACATTTATCATCAACATCTATTAGAACAGCAGTGCAAAAATGCTGAATTGCATAATTTAAACACGCTAAAATCATGAGGTAATATTAAGTATTTGATTTTACAATGAATGAGTGGCGTAATGCAATAAAACTAAACAGAAGTACACTCACCGGCCACTTTATTAGGTACACCTGTCCAACTGCTTGTTAATGCAAACTTCTAATCAGCCAATCACATGGCAGCAACTCAAAGCATTTGGGCATGTAGACATGGTCAAGCAGGTCAAAGCGAGCATCAGAATGGGGAAGAAAGGGGATTTAAGTGACTTTGAACGTGGCATGGGTGTTGGTGCCAGACGGGCTGCTCTGAGTATTTCAGAAACTGCTGATCTACTGGGATTTTCATGCACAACCATCTCTAGGGTTTACATAATATAGTCTGAATAAGAGGAAATATCCAGTGAGCGGCAGTTCTGTGGGCGCAAGTGCCTTGTTGATGCCAGAGGTCAAAGGAGAATGGCCAGACTGGTTCCAGCTGATAGAAAGGCAACAGTAACTCAAATAAGCACTCGTTACAACCGAGCTCTGCAGAAGAGCATCTCTGAACACACAACACGTCCAACCTTGAGGCGGATGGGCTACAGCAGCAGAAGAGCACACCGGGTGCCGCTCCTGTCAGCTAAGAACAGGAAACTGAGGCTACAATTCACACAGACTCACCAAAACTGGACAATAGAAGATTGGAGAAACGTTGCCTGCTCTGATGAGTCTCCATTTCTGCTGACACATTCAGATGCTCGGCTCAGAATTGGGCCTCAACAACATGAAAGCATGGATCCATCCTGCCTTGTATCAGCGGTTCAGGCTGGTGGTGGTGGTGTAATGGTGTGGGGGAGATTTTCTTTGGGTCCATTAGTACCAATTGAGCATCAACGCCACAGCCTACCTGAGTATTGCTGCTGACCATGTCCATCCCTTTATGAGCACAGTGTCTCCATCTTCTGATGGCTACTTCCAGCAGGATAACGCAGCATGTCATAAAGCCTGAATCATCTCAGACTGGTTTCTTGAACATGACGATGAGTTCACTGTACTTAAATGGCCTCCACAGTCACCAGATCTCAATCCAATAGAGCATCTTTGGGATGTGGTGGAATGGGAGATCGGCATCATGTTCGAATCTGAAGCAACTATATGATGCTATCTTGTCAACAGAGCAAAATCTCTGAGGAATATTTCCAGTACAGTTCTGAAGGCAAAAAGGGGTCCAACCCAGTTCTAGTAAGGTGTACCTAATAAAGTGGCCATTGAGTGTAAAACTAAATGATCAGTGAACGACAATTCATTAAATAAAATGTAACCAAATTATATTAAAACACAATATTTTCATCAAATGTCAGCAAATAGAGGATTAATGTTAAGAATTATTTATTCACTATTTTAGTAATTATAACTGCATATGAATATTTACAAAATAATCAAGATCGCTGTTTACTTTCACTTTACTACAAGGTTTTTGCATTTTTTTAGTCAATACTTTTGGTTTGCAGACACACACACACACACACACACACACACACACACACACACACACACACACACACATACACGCACACACACACACACACACACACACACACTTATGTCTGTCATTGTCATCTGATGTTGTGCTCTACACTGAGATGACAGTTATGTCTTCCCATCCCCGTCTTCAGCTCCACACACACACACACATACACACACACACACAGACACAAAAATGCACAAATGCGCGAGCAGAAAGCGAGGGGTGTGTCTTACCTTTGGAGGCTGTGTTGAGTGAGACAGATAGAGGAGAAAGAGAGACATGTTTAATGTGTGATCATCTCTCTCTGTGTGTATGATGTTTGTGTGAGTGTGTATGTGATGGTGTATGCGTGTGCATGATGGTTCGTGTGTCTATGTGTAATGTATGTGTGTGTGTGTGATGTTGTATGTGTGTGTGTAATGGTGTATGTGTGAGTGTGATGTTGAGTGTGTGACTGTGTAATGGTGTGTGTGAGATGGTTGTTATGGTGTGTGTCTGAGTATGAAGATGCATTGTGTGGTGTTGGTCAGCGTGCGTCTGTTTATGTAAAATGGTGTGTATGTGAGTGAGCATGTGTGTGTGATGATGATGCATCTGATGGTGCGTGTGTGTGTGTGATGGTATGAGTATTCGTGACGGTGTATGTGAGTGTGTGTAAGAAGATGATTTTGTGTGTGATGGTTGGTGTGTGTTATATTGCATGTGTGTGTGTGTGTGTGTGAGCAGCTGGACTCACTCTTGGTCTGTGTGGAGAAGGCGAGTGTGAGTTTGGCGAAGAGCTCTTTGTCCTCGTATCGGTCCTCCTTGGCCTTCACCCAGAAGCTGCCTTCAGAGAGATCCTCCGGTGAGATCTGTGAAGAACAAACAGCACAAACTCTTCATCACTCCATTCCTCCGTCTTTACATCCACCATTCAATCAATCCCATCCAAGTGTGTATATATCCAGCGGCTTCCTCTCCTTATTCAATCATCCATGGGTTCATTCATTCAACCATTTATAAACATTTCCTTCTACTTTAATTTTGATAGATAATATTTCAGATGGACATTTATTTGACTTTATTCATCTATTGCTTTATGCGTCCATTCCTGCTTTCTTCAATCCATCCATCTATTCATGCATTCATTCAATCATTCACACACTCATCTATTTATCATTCATTCATCCATTCACTAATCCACCTTTTTATCCATTCAACCAACCCATTCATATACAAGCAACAATCATCTATTCATCCTTTCATCCATCCATGCTTCCAATCTACGTATCCATCCATTTGTTTATCTATTTATCAGTTTATCCATCCATCCATGGGTCTATTCAATATTAATTTATCCTGCCATTCTCCCATCCAGCTAACCTTCAATACAACCATCCACCATTCATTCATTCATCCATCCTTACAAATATCCTTCCTTCCATTCATCCTCGAACATTTTCTTTTATTCATCCATCTGCTTGTCTATTCATCCAACCACTATACAACTATTCCGTCCGTTCATTCATTCATTCATTCTACATATTTGTCCTTCTAATTCATCCATCAATCAATGCAGTTTATCATACATTCATCTATTATATGAATGTTTATATGTTAATTTGTGTCTTTTTTCCATTCATTCATTCATTCTTTCATTCATTCTCATACAACCATTCATCCATTCATTCATTCATTCATTCATTATCATACAACCATTCATCCATAAATCCTTTTTCTTTCCATTTAATTTTTTAATTCATCCACCCATGACAATTCATCTACTCATTCATTCATTCATTCATTCATCCATTCATTTATCCATGTCCATACAACCATTCATCCTTAAATCCTCTTTTCTTTCCGTTTAGTTTTTTTTTAATTCATCCACCCATGACTATTCATCTACTCATTCCTTCATCTATCCAACCATTCATTCGTAAATCCTTGTTCTTTCCATTTCATTTTTTTTAATTCATCCCCCATGACTATTCATTCATTCATTCATTCATTCATGACTATTTATCTACTCATCCATTCATTAATTCTTTCATTCATTCATCTATCCATGTCCATCCAACCATTCATACATAAATCCTTTCTTTCCATTTCATTTCTTTAAAATCATCCACCCATGGCTATTCATTCATTCATTCATTTAATCATTCATTCATTCATTCATCTATCCAACCATTATACATAAATTCTTTTTCCATTTCATTTTTTTATTCATCCACAAATGACTATTTATCTACTCATTTATTAATTAATTATTTCATCCATTCATCTATTCATGTCCATCCAACCATTCATACATAAATCCTTTCTTTCCATTTCATTTTTTTATCCATCCACCCATGATCATTCATTCATTCATTCATTTATTCAACCATTCATCCGTAAATCCTTTTTTCTTTCCATTTCATTTTTTATCTATCCACCCATGATCATTCATTCATTCATTCATTCATTCATTCATTCATCAAACCATTCATCCGTAAATCTTTTTTTCTTTCCATTTCATTTTTTTAATTCATTCCCTCATGACTATTCATGTACTCATCCATTCATTAATTCATTCATCTATCCATGTCCATCCAACCATTCATTCAGAAATCCTTTTTCTTTCCATTTCATTTTTTTAATTCATCCACCCATGACTATTCATTCATTCATTCATTCATTCATTCATTCATTCATTCATTCATTCATTCATTCATTCATTCATCTCGTCATTCTATCCATCTATCCAACCTTTTATATGCCCATCCGTTCATTCATTCATTCAATTATTCAATCCATCTAGTTTATCCTATATTCATATATTTATCCCTTCATTCTTCTATCCATCTATCCAACATTTTATCTGTCCATCTATTCATTCATTCATTCATTTCTCCATGAATGCAAGAGTCACACTGGCAGCAGATCCAATTTATCTGACACACACACACACACCTATAACACACAAGTTGAAGTCTATATTAAAGCAGTGTGTTGTTTGGACACCACAAACACTCCACGGTTGATCTAATGGAACTTGATGGAGGACCATCTTAGAGTGATTAATCTCGTTAATTCACTTATGCGCCTAAAAACATCCCTCAATCACGGTAAAACACGAGTTGCGCTCAGCCTCGACCGGATTATCGCTTTAACTCGGCCCTGGTGTCTGGACAATACCATTATGTAGCCGCCGCTGATACGATCATACGCTTCAAGTGCGGTTCTCTATCGTTTATGGACGCCGGAACTGACTAATGGAGCGTAGATTGCCATTCGGAGATCAGGGGCTTAATTTTTACCCCCGTTCGAGAAGATGAAACGCCAGCGAACGCTTTCTCACAGTCTCAACGCATAACCTCATTTACACAGAAGAAAAACGCTGCAAGTCTTGGGAGCGAAATGAGTTTAACAGCAGCGAACAGGCTGTCAGGATATCAGCACCGCCTTCAGACAGCCAGCAAAGACAGAATGAGAAATGTAGAACAGGGATTAGAGGAAGACAAGAATATGATAATAGAGACAGAATAAAAGAGGGGGAAACTCATTAAAACGGATCCTGATTTTACACACAAAGGGAAAGAAAGACGACAGTCCCAATGCACGCTGGGATGGACGGACATAAAAAATAAATCTGTAATTCTCTCCTCATCTCGTTCTCCCATTGTTAACGCACTTTGCAAAAAGTCTATCATTCTGTCTTTATAATCCTGCAGCTCGGTTCTCTAAGAGAGTTTCTAATATACTTTTTAATATATATTTATGTACACTACTGTATGAATTACTGGGGTCAGCAAGCTGAGAAGTTAATATTTCTACTCAACAAAGATGCATTTAATTGTTCATTTAAACTGATTTAAATGATTTCTATATTAAATAGATGCTGTTTTTGATTTTTTCCCCATCAAAATCAGCACAAATCAGCATATTAAAATCCAAGAAATGCATTGTACAGGGTGGGCCATTTACAGTTGAAGTCAGAATTATTAGCCCCGCTGAATTATTAGCGCCCCTGTTTATTTTTTTCCCCAATTTCTGTTTAATGGAGGGAAGATTGTTTCAGCACATTTCTAAGCATAATAGTTTTAAAAACTTATTTCTGATAACAGATTTATTTTATCTTTGCCATGATGACAGTAAATAATATTTTACATGGTATTTTTCAAGACACTTCTATACAGCTTAAAGTGACATTTAAAGGCTTAACTAGGGTAATAAGGTGAACTAGGCAGGTTAGGGTAATTAGGCAAGTTAATCTATAACGATGGTTTTTTATGCCATCAAAAAAAAAAAAAATAGCTTAAAGGAGCTTATAATTTTGTCCCAAAAATGTTTTTTAAAAAAATTAATAACTGCTTTTATTCTAGCTTAAATAAAACAAATAAGACTTTCTCCAGAAGAAAAAATATTATCAGACATACAGTGAAAATTTCATTACTCTGTTAAAAATCATTTAGGAAATATTTTAAAAAATCATATCAAATCAAAAAGGGGCTAATAATTCTGACTTCAACTGTATATGGATACATCTTAATAAAATGGGAAGGGTTGGTGATATTAATGTCCTGTTTGTGGCACATTAGTATAAGTGAGGGGGCTTGTAAATAACTCATGAAAGAATAAAGTCATGTTTAAAGCCAAGCACACCATTGTTTTTCTAGTGAAATTCCCAACAAGTTTATTAAGGTGTATCCATTTAAATGGCCCACCCTGTATATTAAACTATAATTAAATAGAAACCAGTCATTTATTATATAAATTTCAATATCTATTACTGTTTTACTGCATTTTTAATCACGTACACTCACCGGCCACTTTATTAGGTACAACTTATTAGTACCGGGTTGGACCCCATTTTGCCTTGAGAACTGCCTTAATCCTTTCTGGCAGAGATTTAACAAGCAACTGGAAATATTCCTCAGAGATTTTGTTCCATATTAGCATGATAGCATCACGCATTTGCTGCAGATTTGTCAGCTGCATATGCATGATGCCAATCTCCCGTTCCACCACATCCCAAAGCTGCTCTATTGGATTGAGATCTGGTGACTGTGGAGGCCATTTGAGTACAGTGAACTCATTGTCATGTTCAAGAAACCAGTCTGAGATGATTCAGGCTTTATGACATGGTGTGTTATCCTGCTGGAAGTAGCCATCAGAAGATGAAGACACTGTGCTCATAAAGGGATGGACATGGTCAGCAACAATACTCAGGTAGGCTGTGACGTTGATGCTCAAATGGTACTAATGGACCTAAAGTGTGCCAAGAAAATATTCCCCACACCATTACACCACCACCACCAGCCTGAACCGCTGATACAAGGCAGGATGGATCCATGCTTTCATGTTGTTGGGGCCAAACTCTGACTCGATCATCTGAATGTGTCAGCAGAAATGGAGACTCATCAGAGCAGGCAACGTTTCTCCAATCTTCTATTGTCCAGTTTTGGTGAGCCTGTGTGAATTGTAGCCTCAGTTTCCTGTTCTTAGCTGACAGGAGCGGCACCCGGTGTGCTCTTCTGCTGCTGTAGCCCATCCGCCTCAAGGTTGGACGTGTTGCGCATTCAGAGATGCTCTTCTGCAGAGCTTGATTGTAACGAGTGCTTATCTGAGTTACTGTTGCCTTTCTATCAGCTGGAACCAGTCTGGCCATTCTCCTCTGACCTCTGGCATCAACAAGGCATTTGCACCCACAGAACTGCCGCTCACTGTATATTTCCTCTTTTTCGGAGCATTCTCTGTAATCCTAGAGATGGTTGTGCATGAAAATCCCAGTAGATCAGCAGTTTCTGAAATACTCAGAGCAGCCCGTCTGTCATCAACAACCATGCCACGCTCAAAGTCACTTAAATCCCCTTTCTTCCCCATTCTGATGCACAGTTTGAACTGCAGCAGATCGTCTTGACCATGTCTACATGCCTAAATGAGTTGCTGCCATGTGATTGGCTGATTAGAAATTTGCAGTGGGACAGTTGCACCTAATAAAGTGTACATTGTCTTGGTGAGCAGAAGAGACTTTCAAAAGCATTTTCCACTAACTCTAAACTTATGAAATGTATTAAAACATATATTTCAATGCTAATTATTTCGGCCAGCAGCCACTGCGTGCAATTAGATTCAAAATCATTAATGCGTGAATGAAAATGCAGTCAAATTTGAGAGGAAAATAATCGAGGCATGTTTTCCACACTCTTTCTGACCTAATGAGAACAAGGAAGAATATTTAATGTGTTCATTTAAATGCACAAACGCAATAACTCACAGCAAGGAAAAGGAATATTATTAAGCAGGAATGAGAGTCTTGCATGACTCACTGAAACGGATGAATCAATGATGGGATTCAATAAGAGAAATGAATTAAATACACCATCCAAAGCTGAAATCACAAGTCCTATTACATCTTTTGCCACTTTCATACTTGTATATAGAGATAATTATATATTTAAGTAAAGTAAAATAAAAATTAGATACTGAAAGAGGCTGGGACATGTGATGGTACTTTAAATCTTCAGTATTTGCTGCAACAGAACAAGTGAATAGAAAGTTACTGTGCGCCTTAATTATGGAATGCATTACCCACAATTATCAGGAATGCTGTTTCACTGGATTGCTTTAAGAAGCTTCTTAATACACGTCTTTTTAGCAAAGCATTGTGATTTTCACTGTCACTTTTAAG